AGTCCCTGTCCGAGGCGGGCACAGGCGCAGGGTGCAGGATACAGGGTGCAGGATGGGGAGTAGGGTGCGGGATGCAGGGTGCAGGATGGGGTGTACCTGCATCCCAGTATGAGTACCCACATCCCAGTACCGTACCTGCATCCCAGTACAGTACCCACATCCCAGTACTGTACCTGCATCCCAGTATGAGTACCCACATCCCAGTACCGTACCTGCATCCCAGTACAGTACCCACATCCCAGTACTGTACCTGCATCCCAGTATGAGTACCCACATCCCAGTACCGTACCTGCATCCCAGTACAGTACCCACATCCCAGTACTGTACCTGCATCCCAGTATGAGTACCCACATCCCAGTACCGTACCTGCATCCCAGTACAGTACCCACATCCCAGTACTGTACCTGCATCCCAGTATGAGTACCCACATCCCAGTACCGTACCTGCATCCCAGTACAGTACCCACATCCCAGTACTGTACCTGCATCCCAGTATGAGTACCCACATCCCAGTACCGTACCTGCATCCCAGTACAGTACCCACATCCCAGTACTGTACCTGCATCCCAGTATGAGTACCCACATCCCAGTACCGTACCTGCATCCCAGTACAGTACCCACATCCCAGTACTGTACCTGCATCCCAGTATGAGTACCCACATCCCAGTACCGTACCTGCATCCCAGTACAGTACCCACATCCCAGTACTGTACCTGCATCCCAGTATGAGTACCCACATCCCAGTACCGTACCTGCATCCCAGTACAGTACCCACATCCCAGTACTGTACCTGCATCCCAGTATGAGTACCCACATCCCAGTACCGTACCTGCATCCCAGTACAGTACCCACATCCCAGTACTGTACCTGCATCCCAGTATGAGTACCCACATCCCAGTACCGTACCTGCATCCCAGTACAGTACCCACATCCCAGTACTGTACCTGCATCCCAGTATGAGTACCCACATCCCAGTACCGTACCTGCATCCCAGTACAGTACCCACATCCCAGTACTGTACCTGCATCCCAGTATGAGTACCCACATCCCAGTACCGTACCTGCATCCCAGTACAGTACCCACATCCCAGTACTGTACCTGCATCCCAGTATGAGTACCCACATCCCAGTACCGTACCTGCATCCCAGTACAGTACCCACATCCCAGTACTGTACCTGCATCCCAGTATGAGTACCCACATCCCAGTACCGTACCTGCATCCCAGTACAGTACCCACATCCCAGTACTGTACCTGCATCCCAGTATGAGTACCCACATCCCAGTACCGTACCTGCATCCCAGTACAGTACCCACATCCCAGTACTGTACCTGCATCCCAGTATGAGTACCCACATCCCAGTACCGTACCTGCATCCCAGTACAGTACCCACATCCCAGTACTGTACCTGCATCCCAGTATGAGTACCCACATCCCAGTACCGTACCTGCATCCCAGTACAGTACCCACATCCCAGTACTGTACCTGCATCCCAGTATGAGTACCCACATCCCAGTACCGTACCTGCATCCCAGTACAGTACCCACATCCCAGTACTGTACCTGCATCCCAGTATGAGTACCCACATCCCAGTACCGTACCTGCATCCCAGTACAGTACCCACATCCCAGTACTGTACCTGCATCCCAGTATGAGTACCCACATCCCAGTACCGTACCTGCATCCCAGTACAGTACCCACATCCCAGTACTGTACCTGCATCCCAGTATGAGTACCCACATCCCAGTACCGTACCTGCATCCCAGTACAGTACCCACATCCCAGTACTGTACCTGCATCCCAGTATGAGTACCCACATCCCAGTACCGTACCTGCATCCCAGTACAGTACCCACATCCCAGTACTGTACCTGCATCCCAGTATGAGTACCCACATCCCAGTACCGTACCTGCATCCCAGTACAGTACCCACATCCCAGTACTGTACCTGCATCCCAGTATGAGTACCCACATCCCAGTACCGTACCTGCATCCCAGTACAGTACCCACATCCCAGTACTGTACCTGCATCCCAGTATGAGTACCCACATCCCAGTACCGTACCTGCATCCCAGTACAGTACCCACATCCCAGTACTGTACCTGCATCCCAGTACAGTACCCACATCCCAGTATGGTACCTGCATCCTGGTATTAGTACTCCCATTTCATTTACATTACCTGCATCCCAGTACGGCTGCATGTGTTCCAGTACAAGTACCTGCAACCTGGTATGGTGCCTGCATCCCAGTATGGGTACCTGCATCCCAGTACTGGTACCCACATCCTGGTACAGTACCTGCATCCCAGTAGGGGTACCTGCATACTGGTACAGGAATCTGTATCCTGGTATGGCACCCACACCCCACTATGGCACCTGCATCCCAGTATGGGTACCAGCATCCCAGTATGGGCACCTACATCCCGGTATGGGTACCTGCATCCCAGTATGGGGACCCACATCCCAAAATG